TTCCTGTTAGGGTTTAGGGCTGCGCCCTCAATTCCCACCTCAAAAAGATCGTCTTCTCGCTTTTGAAAGAGGAAGACGCCCGCCGCAGGCAGGGCTCCAGGGGCCTCCAGGGGCCTCCAGGGACCTCCAGGGGCCTCCAGGGGCTTCCAGGGGCCTCCACTCCTTCAGGGGCCTCCAGGGGTTCCGGGGGTTGAGAGGTTTTTGAGGCCTCAACACCTTTTTGGGTTCAAGGCCCTCACCCGCAGATTTGCCGGAGCTGGGGGCCAGGACCCTTTGGGCCCTCCTAGGAGGTCACTGAAAAGGCGTGACGGGCCGAGTTTAGGGTATTCCCATCAAAGGGAAAATCAATGTACATTGTATATATTTGGCCCACTGGGGTGGCTGGAGGCAGTGCTGTGCCTCCCGATGTGCGGGAAGAGCCCGGAGGGGCTCTATACGTGCACTCTCCTCCCATTGTCTTACCCAGTACGGGTGTACCTAGTAATGGGTGGGAACGGCCTAAGCAGGCCGGGTGGGAAGACCCCAATATAGATTTCCAAAATATTGTAATCCTTCTAAAGGGGACCCCAAAATGGTACCCTCATTTATGGAGACCCCCAATTGGCGGTTAAGGTCTATAGAACTTGTATAATGGGACCCTGAAGGGGGCCCCTTATAGGGGGACCCATAATTAAGCCTCCCTTAAACCTCCCTAAGGCTCCCTAAGGTCCCAAAATGTCTCCTATTATGGGGCCCTTAGGGCTTCCATAGTTGTATTGGCTTCGCTCCAGAGTTTTGAGCGGCTTTTGAGCCTTTGTTTTTGGCTTTAGGCCCTAGACCGTCACCCGTTTTTTGTTTATTCTGAGCTTGAGGGTTGAGGGTTTAAGGTTCGAGGTGTAGGGTGAAGTGGCAAATCTAGTGAAGTCGGGATCAAGTTTCTGGGGTTGCTTTAAAAGCAACTTCGGTGGTGCTCAGTGATCCTGCTACCGGGCGGACTCAGAAAGCCTGTTGCAAAAGGGTGAAGTGGTAAGTATGGTGAAATTTGCGCCTAAGGCCCAGAGGACCATTGTCCAATGCTTAGTTTCATCGTGCGGCCCATGCATGAAGCAGAGCTACATTGTCAGCTGCCCTTTGCAACATGAAATCTGGATTGAAGGCTTCCAATGTGCGACTGGTTTCTATTTGGTTGAGGACGCCCTGGCTCCTCAAACCAGTCTGTCCGTTCGTCATATTTTGTCTGCACTTTCAAGACTGGGCAGATCACAGGAGAAAGACGCATGCATCAGTAAGTTTGGCTTCCTGATTCCTTGCCGCCAGCTCAGATGTTATCGTCATTTGAGCTCCTGCAGATTCAAGTTCCACCACATGAGCCATAATCTAAACTCCTTAAAGGGGGGTTATATAGGGGATTATATAGGGGACTACTATAATGGTTATTAAGAGGGATAATGGCTCACATCACGCATGAACTTGCTCGAGCTTTGCTGCGCAGGCATCTACGGCTTGCTTGGTTCAGCCTTTCTCCTCTTGGGCTTGCCCTAGCCTTGACAGAAGCCATTGATCCCTACACGCTGCATATCCCTCCAGATGTACGTGCTTATGTATATGTATATATATATATGCATATACAATAGACGCATATTTCTAGAAATCCCTGTATAACCCTTATGACCCCTTCATATCCCTATATGTCCCTATACAATCCCAAAAAGAGCACGCTGAGGTGGTACCTCTGGCTTCGCAACCAGCGGCCAACTTGGCACGAGAGTGTTCTTTGTTTTGCATCAATCATGTTTTGGATCTACCAAGGGCCTCCATTCATTGCTGAGGCCAGTGACCAATTCACGAGTCCTGAAGAGGGCCATCATGCGCCGACATCACCTCAACCTGAGAGCCCGGTGCCCAAGGATGGCCATCAGGCGTCCGGAGTTGACTGCAGGGTGGGTTAGATGTTTTGCCAAGGACTACACAAGTTCACGGCACGATTGGTGCAAAGCACAGTTTCTGGCTTGCATGTCTTCCGTGGATAAGTCGCCGCGCTGCCAGAGACAGGTATCCTTTGGCAACCAACCTTGGCCGACCCCGAGAAGATGGTCATGTCGTGGGTGGACGTGCCGCACCCCTCAGCTGATCCTGGAATCAAAGTTGCCGCAACGGGGCTTGGCCCAGAATGTCTGATGTGGAACTGTAGGCCTTGCTCATGTTCTTCAACTTCCAAGCCTTCATCCTGATTTGGTGTGCCTGGACCTTTGGGCCAGAAATGCTTGTCTAGTCCACCTGCAGAAGTTCCAAGTTCAAGATTTGTGGAGGCCTGCGCAGGCATTGCCTGGTTGGTGTGTGCAACCGCCCCTCGCCGGCACATGTGGGTGTGGTTGAGGGGCAGCAGCCTGTGCTTGTGCTTGGAGACTTGCATCAGGTCTTCACTGGGAGTATGCTTGTTCAAGGCTCCCATTGACTTCGCTCAAGCGGGATGCCCGCAGAAACTCATAGCCTGCAAGGCAGTGTCAAAGGGAATGAAGACGTTTACACAATGTGCGGCGCAGCAATTACTGCTGTGCGTGCTCTTGCAAGATCAAATGAGCCCTGTCCTCAGCCTGAGCTGAAGTAGCGAACCCAGAAGCGACCAATTTTCAGCCAGGCAGCAGGTTGCGAAAGGCACTTTGGCTTTCACCGTGTTTCTGTGCGCCTTTTCGGGCAGATGCTGTGCTGCTGGAACCAAAGGATTTTTCTGCGAGGTACTTCTTTACTGCGCTCTCCACTCTGTGCTACGCGCTGGGCTATGCGGGAGTACTTGCAGCCATTTTGGAGGGTGGTAAGCTAGAGGCAGTTCGGCAGCGCAGACAGCGAGTGCAACTCGACACTCGCGAGGTGAGGTCATACTATTCTACTAGCAGGTGACAAGACTGAAGAGCGCAGATTGCCAGGCCACAATGAAGGATTTCGCGGTGATGCTGACAGGCTTTCCTGCAGAGGATGGCCGGGAGGCACCAGTGCCAGAAGGGCTCTGGTAGGAAGTGGGGCAGCTTGACCGTATCCGCGATCACCAAGGTTGAGCGACGCCGGATTGACTTCGTGCGCAGGTCCACTGGGTACCTCAGCCCGGAACAGGAAAATGTCGCTAGGTGCCTTTTGCAGACCTTGTTTACCCTGCAGTGCAAGGTGCCAACCGGTCGGAGTTTCAGTTTGTTGGGCCTTCGATGGCGCGGAGGCCATCACTGCTTGGCAGCAGGTCTCACCTGGTAGAAAAAAGCAGGTGCTAGGACATTTTGAACACGCGAGGTGGATGAGCTCACCGCTAGGGAGACATGGCTGTGGGGCAAGGCAGCATCAGTCAAGTCGGCCCGCGTTCGCCTGCAGAAGTTCTTTGGCAGGGTCGGGACAGCTGCGGCCCTATGAAGGCCTCAACCGCCTCGTCCCCACCTCAATGCGCTGTGGCTGCCAACACACAACAAGCGAGCAAGCTTCATCCCGAGTCGCCGGAGCCAATTTGGACCCCTGCTAAGATTGCGTGAAGACAGCGAAGCAGGCACACTGGTGTTCAACGGCCAACAAGTGGTCCTGCTGTGATCTATCTGTCTGCACATTCTGGTGGGTCGGGAGAGAGCACATGGCATCAGAGAACAGGATGTCAACCTCTCCGAAGTTGCTTCCAAAAGATGAACCAGTTTCTGGCGGATGGCTGAGCCCGCCGAGTTTTGCTTTGCTTCATCTGCCTGGTGACTGGCGCGGTTGCTGTGGGCATCTGAGGCACCACCTTTGCAGCCTGAGGCCTCGCCCGCAATCTACAAAAAGAGACAAGAGTGCCCATGACAGCCATGGAGGATGCAGAGCTCGGCAGGGCAAGACGGCATGAAGAACGTGCCTGCGCCTTAGGAGTGCATCCCATCATGACTTGAGCTGAGGGTTGTTCTTGCGGATGGCGTTGAAGGCCTCTGCTCTCGCCAGGGACGTTGTGTCCACAGGCCTGGCTGGGTTGCAGAAGCGGAGCAACCTGTTGTTGCTGGATTCAGCCGCATGATCTGCATGTTGCCAGCCTCGCTAAGCAGGCTGCATGTATGCGGTCTTCAGCACTGAGTGTTGCCAGCAAGTTTGGTCTGCCAGCTAGAAACCACTCTTTTCTCTTGGCCGCAATGGGCTTTATCATTACTACTATGATTGCTACTTCTATTGTTCTAGCCCTTAGTACTATTACTGCTACCATTTCATTTTCGCTTGCCAGGACTGACCGCGCTGGGATCTCGATCACAGCCATTCCTCGGCTTTCGGGCTGTTGCTGCATCGTGCTGCATCCAAGGACCATGCCAAGAAGGTCTTCTCCTGTGACTCTGCTGTCCCGCTTTACCAAGGGCCCGGGTCGGAGTGTTTGCGACTGCTGGGCTCTTCCCTTTGGCATGCTGTCCTAGAGTGCTGCATAGAGGCGGTACCACATCCAGTTCGACCCGACTGCACACGGCTCTGAGCCTGAGAGTGTTGGGCCTTCAGAAGCTGCTGCACACTTGCAGCACTTTGGACATGAGTTACGTCCGACATGGGTTTCGGCCCAGGTGCTGTGGCACAACTTCAGGCGTGATGTGCAGGCTCGGACTCTTCAGCTTGCCTGCAAGCAAGCGAGCAAGCGGGGCAGTGTGGGAAGGCTGTGCCATACAAAGTGATGGCATCCATTGCTGGCATCGCGGTTGCGATAATGTTCTGGGGTGCTGCTCTCAGTTTGTTAGAGCTTGAGATTGCTTCCCCATGCAGTAAGCTGATGCCTCCTAGGTCTTTTCTTCTATTTTCCCTTTGCAGTGTATGAGGCAGTGGCCGTACAATTTCTCAATGATGTGTTGAGACCCTGGGAAGCTGGGCTACTCTGTTGCAGGCTTGGTCTTATTCGGCTTTGGGTGGGGAGCCTGGTGTGCATGGGAACTGTGTGTGTTTTTTTGTCCGCGCAACCAAGGCCAGCCAAGCGACACTGCATCAGAAACAACCTTCAGTTTACTGGTCGTAGCAGCAGGCCCAGCTTTTGCAGGCCAACCCTGTGACAGTTCTAAGTTCAGTCCTCGGGATGATGTAAGCAAGGATGGGATGTTCAATTAGTTGGATGTGCTTGATCCCTAAATTTGTCCTGTGGCCGAGGTTGGCAACCAGTTGCTGTACTTGCTGTGCGCGAAAGCTTCCAAGAAGATTGGCTTTCGTTTTGACCGGGGCCAAGAGACTGCGACGCATGAGAGGAAGTGATTTGTCGGTTCATGAAGAGAGAGGGCGACACTGAGAGTCTCAACGCAGCCATGGTAATCAACATCATGCCTGTCTCACTTTCGCATGTTCACATGCGAAAATACGTTGCACAAAGAAGCAGAACAACCAGAGACGCCAGCACTAATGTAGACCCATGATGAATAAACATCTTTTTTCTAACTGCTTTAATTAGGATCCCTATTAGACTCCCTACTGAATAAATACACCATTACATTATAGTAGTTTCCATTTTCTTCTCCATTATCCTTTTAATCCCTATTAAGGGGAGGGGGTTTACTAATCAGGGGTCTGGGTTAGCTTCTGCAGGTTGGTGGTCTACATGCCGTTTAGGGTTTAGTAAAAAGGGTGCATGAGGATATTTCAGGTTTCAGGCAAACCTATCGACTGAAGACAGATTTGTATGTGAAGGGTTCGTTTTCTCAATGTGGCGCGTTGGGTGCTCTAGCCATGATGATGTGCACCAGGCCTAATGAGTAGTATTTTATTTGGGGATACTATGGTACCCAATATAGAGTAAGATTCTATCCCCCTTTTGGGGTAGAGTATTCTATATAAGGAATATTATCTTACTAGGTTCAACCACCAAAAAAACGCTTCTCTAATGTTCTTGGAAGTTTGGGCTTCGAACCGGCTCGGCTGCGGCCTTCGTCTGACTGTATGCTGGGCGAAATCAGCGTGCAAAAAAAAACAAAACACAATTCCAAACGCCAAACCCAAACCCAAAAATGACCCTAAACCCTAAACCCTACATCCAGGCAAGCCAGGAGCTTGCGGCCTACACCAGCCTCTACACGCAACAGCCTCAGCTGCCAGCTTTGCGAGCATGACAAGTTTGTTGTTCTTACTTATTACGCGTTACTTCTTACTTGTTACTTGTTCCTTGTCCCTTGTGACTTGTTACTTGTTACGAGTACTTGTTACTATTACTATCACCATTGCTATTATGAATGTTATTCTTATTGGTATTTTTGTAAGTAGCGTTTCAACTAGTACTGCTATGATGAGTATTACTATGGATCAGGTGGCACCGCCCAATGTGAGAAGATCCCAACATATTCACTATACCCTGTTGTAAGTATTACTGGGTGGGGGTCCACCTAAGCTGTGGGGGCTACGCAGAGACGATGGGATTCTTCATGTCTGGCGCCTGAATGTGGTCGAGCTTTTGGACAGGGCCTGTTCTCTGGGGATGACCGCTTGCTGGTAGGGTCAGGCAGGCGATGACTTCTAGTGTTTTAGGTGCTGTTGCAGATCCAGTGTCGGCCTCGTGCCTTTCCATGTTGCCCGTAGTGGACGACACCTAGCCATGAGGCAACAAACCACTCGTCAGGCCACTCATTTCCAAACTTGTCTAACATATTCTTGGTGGCCGCGGCCTCCGATTTGGCCAGCAACTGAAGATGCTAGCACTCTTGCTGCTTTAGTTCAGTGATTCTCGAAGTGTTGTGTCATTTTGAGTCAATCAAAATCTCGGAAACCTTGAACACTAGCTCCCTTTCCTTTTGCAGCGTGTTGAGCTGAACAGCAGCCAGCACGCCTCTGACACCCCGGCACTCAGGACTTACATGACGTCCGCCATGAAATGCCACGCGAGTTTGAAAGTCAAACCCTATTCAAGTCCCCGAAAGCACTAAAATTCTGCTTGTGCGCTCATACTCACTTAGCCAGTGTCGAGAGAACGATGGGCATGTTTTGTGCAGATCGCACATTTTGCTGCAGCATGTCCAGCAAAATTCTAGGGGAGATATGCTGCCCCAAACATACCCAGCCTATGGCGTCAATGGGGCGCAAGACATGAACAGCCTAGGATGATAGCAGATGGTAGTAAGGTGATAGTAGAGCTAGGGCAAGAAGTACATGAAATCTTGGACGGCTTCCATCAGTAGCTCGTTGCCCGCGTGGATGAGCCGCTCCAGCCCAGAGCTGCATGTGAAGGGCGATGATCGCCTCCCAAGCACATCACGACACGGTACTCGAGCGCCGCGGCCGTACTACAAAGTGCGAGTTCCAGAGTTGTTGCTGCCATCACTTTGCCCTGTGAATGACGTCGCTCGCACGCGCAACATGGGCAAGCCGCTGCAAAGCCGCAACCCTACAATGTCAAGCCCATCACTGCCATCCACACAGACAACCCCTTCGCTGGCAGTGCCATCGCATCCAGCACAGCCATCGCAGCCATCCCAATCGCAGCGTGTCCGACTGCTGCCAGGTTTGAGCGTGGTCTCGCAAGTGACGATTCAGTGTCCGGTGAACCCGCTGAAAGACTCCAGGGTGAGACCATCTGCCCGCTATGAAGTTCCACCGGAGGCTCCGCCAAGGCGCTTGCCGCAAAGATCAGTGGAGCCGGCTCTTGAGGACCTTCCACTGCCAGACAGGGAATCCATTGCTGAGTTGACCACCTCGGTCTCTCAAGTGCTGCACAAGCCCTCTGTGGCGTTGAAGCGCTCAATGCACTTGATGGACGGCCTGCAGACCCTTCGTGGCCTGGGCTCTTCAAGTGTTGATGCATCAAGCAGGTCTCCAACAAGCTCTCCGCGCTCAGCGCAGGCTGGACATCCAGCCAGCCCAGTCAGCCCTATGAGCCCGCAGACGGCAGAGACCACGCCTGTGAGCGATGTACGGAGACCGAAGTCCAGCAAGGACGCCCCGACGGAGGAGGATCCTTTGCTGCTGGCGGTCCTCAAGGATTTACAGGACAGCTCGGAGTCTTTGCTTCTGAAAATGCAGCGTATTGAAGAAGCACAGAAAATGGTGAAGCGCTGCCATGGGACGCGCCATCCTACAAATCTGATGACTGATCGTGTCCGCATGGTCATTCAGCGCAAGGCGTTGCTGCTGAAGCAGGTGGAAGATCGGACGGCGGAGTTCCAGGCCGCTCAGGCCCAGAGTGAGAGTATTCTCCGTGGCATTGTCGACCGCGGCTCCTCTGCACCTGAGGAGCTCCAGGGAGTTCAGCAGTTTGTGCGGAGATGCACTCACCGTGGAAACGTGGCGGACGCGGATCGCAAGAACTTTCAGGAGTTCGTCTCTAGCTTCAAACTGCCAGGGCAGCATAAACTGCTTGAGGGCTTCTTGGATTTGGCTGCAGAAGCTGGTGCCTGGTGGGCAGAGAAGGCTTACACGGAGGCCATGGCAGGAGCAGGGCACATCCCCATCATGCAGCTCATAGAACTGGCAGAGTCTGTGGGTGCTGATGCCAAGGATCCCATGCTGCTCAAAGCGCGAGATGTGCTGCTGGAAAGGCTGCGTGTGAGACTTTCCACTTTTGCGGATGACTGCATGGAGAAGGATGACCTTGCAGAGAAGCGTGCCAAGGAACGTAATCAGGTTCCCCCTTTGGGCATGGCTGCCACCAATGCTGACCGCATCGAAGCAGAAGTCTTCGAGGCAATTCGCCTCGGTATGGATAAAGAGGATCCGTGCATTCAAGATGCCCAGAAGGTCATCAAGACGCTGCGACAGAAAGACGGAGAGCGTAAACGACTGCACAATCGCAACAAGCGCTTGCAGGAGGATGCCAACAAGGGCTGATATCACCTTCTCGGCCAGCCCTCACGCTTTTGACCTGCTATGTGCAGACATGCCGGATGTTATTATAACCTTTTTGCATGATATTTTGAAGTTCAGTCGAGGCCACCCAAAGGGTGAGCCAGTATCACACAGGAAATTGAGACTTGTTCGTCCTTGCTGCATGCAGCGGCCGTGCGAGTGTCGAAAGCCTTTAGCTGCCCGATCATCGAGCTAGGAGCTTTCTCGAAATTCCCCCGTTGTCCTTATGTGAGCTACAGTCTACACTCCTTATAGCAGGTTATATAGGGGGAGCACTATAGGGGTTATTAAGTGGGAGACTAGGAATTTAGACTATGGCTCATTTGTTATCTGGTTCCTAGGGATCCCCTACTTCTGAAAAAGCTGCCTTTGCCAGCTTGCTTAGGATGGCTTTGCTGTCCAACATGTTCATCGACATCTGGATCCTTTTCTACACCACTGCCGCAGCTACAGAGAACCTGGGTGCCCGGTCCATTTGACAATGTGAATGTCACAGAGGATAGGTTACAGAATGCTGATTTTGCCATAGGGCACTATGCTGGTTCACTATGATGGCCAGGCCTTGAGGTATCCTGGAGCTCGTTCTTTCTAAATCGGGAAGAGCCGCATCCTCGTAATTCTGACGTTCAGAATGTTCGGTCTGGCTTTGCTTTTGTCGATCGAGGCGGGTGAGTTTTCCACTTCGGGACACGGGCTCAGCCACCGGAAGGGAACTTCCACATGTTGTCAGCAGTGGTTGCCCAGCACAGAGCACAACAGGCCAAGTTGGGCGCGCGCCTCTATGCCTATAACTTCCCCTCCTGCTTCTTGTTGCCTTTCTTGCCGGGCTCCCCAGCTGAGACTGACATGTGAGAAGCAAGAGTTACAGCTGCCGACTCATTCACCGCTTCGAGGTGCGAAGCTTTGTTACGGCCTTGGGTGCACAGTGGTCCAGCAGATGGTGTCCCTCAAGATGTGAAGCTCATGAGAGACAGGTCATGTGGATATTCCAGTGTGAGGGAAGCAGTATTTCTGTTGATAATGTCAACTTCCTATGGCGAGACTCAGGTTCACTGTTGTTGTCCCCTACCATCTATACTGCAAGCTGGTGGGCTCTCAGCCAATCGGCGCCCACCTCAGCTTCTGAGCAACGCCGGTTGTTGAGACGATTCAATCAGACAACATCATGGCAAAGGCAGCCTTATCCCCAGTGAGAGGTGTGGGGAAAAATTCCCCAAAATGCGAGACGAATCAGCAAGCTACGCATGCATTAAGCAGGCTGCACCCACGCCCGCTTCATATTTTTGCGTTGCCTGGCCTGCCACGCGAGATTTGAGGTCAGAGGGTTGCAGACGCTTGCCTCTTGCAGCAACCTCAGCATCGAACTTTGGCTGTCCCTTAGTTCCGCTGACCAAACAGCGTCTGAATGTGCCTGTGCCACTTGCCGGACTCAGAGACGCGCTGTTTGACGTTCAAGGCCTACCCCCTTCGACATGTCACGCTATGCCGACGTGGTGCATCACCCTTGTTCTACTGCTGTTGATGTAAGAAGAGCTTACGGGCAAGAACAGCAGCTGCGTGAGGTGCTGAACATGACGCAAGCCACTGTATCGCTCTTCTTTAGCCCAGGCGTGGTTTCATGCATTTCTCATATTATGTGTGATGAAGATCTTCATGCCTTCCAATGAAGGTTACGTTTGCTCAACCTTCTTCTTCTTGCTCTTCAGCCACCTTTTTGTGTATGCTTCGCCCTTGTACATCTGTCCTGTCAAGCCGCTGCTTTGCATTGTGCACAGCTGCCCCACAGCTGAGGCATGGGATCACTATCGAGTGTTACGGCATGTTGCCCTCTGAGCTTCATCCGCTGATTGGCGGTGACCTGGTAACAATGCCGGAATCAGGTGCGACAGTTCCGTTTCTCTTCATACCGTACAGAGAAGGCCAGCCGGAAAAGTGGATGCACGCGCTGAGATGAAGACTTGTTGTTCATGACTCATGTGGGTGTTCCGATGTGTTTTGAACTATGAGCCTTGGCTTTGAGGCTCGAGAGCACACAGTGATCCTAGCATGTCAGCTAGCCGCCAAACTTCAGCTCCATCCAGCTCTGTTGCCTTCGCAGGCCCAAAAAAGATCGCAGCATGCAGATCATAACAATGCGCCGTGACATGTTACTGTCAGCTCTGCCTATGTGAACTTTTAATTTCTAGTACAGCTAGCAGTTTAGGAAGCCGGCTATCATGCCCAGCATCGCAATCGGGGCCCGAGACGAGGAGGAAGAGGAGGTGGAGGTTGAGGATGCCGAGGAAGAAGACCAGGAGGAAGAGGCGGAGCTGCCCCCTCCCCCACCAAGGAGGCCGCACTTGCGCGTCCTCTTCTCCGATGTGGAGGGAGTGCTGGCCCCTCGACCTGATCCGCGCCTTCTGACAGTGCAGACGTCGCAATGCGTCTTTCTGCGCCGCCTGCTGCAGCGCACAGGTGCCCAGCTGGTGCTCACCACAGCCTGGAGGAGGCATCAATCCTATGTCGTCGAAGTCCTCGACAACTTCGGCGTCTTTGAGACCAGCGGAGCCAAGAGCGAAGTGGACAGCACTCCATTCAATGCAGATGCAGCACGCAGGGATTTGGAGATCCTCCAATGGTTGAACGGTCATCGTGGGGAAGTTGCTTCCTGGGCCGTGCTGGATACGAGAGATTTGTTGGGCTTTGCTTCGGCACCAAGGCTACAAGGACATGTGGTTCAGGTTGATGGGGAAAAGGGCCTTCAGCCAGAGCATGTGGATGCAGCAGCAGAAATCCTTGGTGAGCTTCCTGGAGCTCCTCCGAAGAACCCTCCAGTTCCACCCCCACCTGCCCAGCCCCCAACATCTTCGTCTCTCTTTGCTCATATTCCGATGGATGAAGGGCTCGTTTCAAAGATGCAGGGTGCTCTGGCGATGTTGTCTGCCTTGCCCGAGGAGGGCAGCTCCTCGTTCCGGCCACCGCAGCGGTCCAAGGAGCTGAGATGTGCCCCGGACACGGAGTTCGATGCGGTTGCCCTGCAAGCGAAGCATAAGTTTTCGTAGTGTCACCTGGGCCAAAGAAGCAGAGCTCCCCAAGCAGAAAAGAAGCACTTTGCACAGCAAAAAAGAGTATCTCCTGGCCGAAATTTGAAGTATTGGCAGAGAGGTTGCGCAGCGGCTGCTGGCCCTGCCCGGCGCAAGCAGGTAGCTCAGGGGTGACCGAGGCCTCGCAGTGTCCAAACCAGACTCAGGGGCCATCGACATGAGGTCTGGCCACTTGCGTGATGTTCCATCTTTTCCAGGCACCTATTCTCAGAGCAGCTGTGATGCTGCAGTGTGCTTGCACAGGAACTGGAGGCCTGAATCGAACATGTCTGATTGCTGTTGAATGGTTGCACTGTCCACATCCTTTGATGTGGAGATCCCATCAGACTTCTCATGATGCCTGTGCAGCCCTTCAAAACGCCCAGGTGCATGCTGCACGGGTCCCAGCGTCGAGGAGCTGCGTCAAATGTACAGCGAGGGATTGAACAAATCTCTTACGCTGGTTGAAGAAGCTGTCCAATAAACGTCGCAGGTTGTGTAGGCATAGGTACGCCGGCACAGGAGCGCATGCTTAGAGTCGACACATGTGCTGAGAGCTTATGTCAAGCAAAGCTTGGCTCCTAAGGTTCAGCCGAAGACAAAGTGTGGGATCGTGCTAGCCCTGTTGCTGCCTGCCCTTCTTCACATCGCCGGCCACATGCTTCGATCTCAGAGTGATGCCCTACAAGCGTCATGGCAAGCCGCAGACGTGTGGAGGATTGTCCTTGGGTATGTTGTGCCGTGGCTGGGTCTCACCCGGCACGTGCCCGCCATGCAGAAGTACAGTGAGGCTCTGATCCTCGCCTCTGTGCTTCCACCGTCAGCAGCCCCAACATTTTGTTGTGCACCTGCCATCCAGCTCGTGCAGGTCGCAAAGATTTTCCCTGGTAATTTCTTCAACATGAACCCTGTCCACTGTTTGCGGTCAAGGCCTTCGGAGTCCCGGCTGGCAGGGGCTGTAAAATCTGGGGGTTGTACAGACATCACCCGGTGGAGGTACCTTCATGATGATCAACCTCCCTGCATTTTCTACCAGATTGGCAAGGATTCCCATGGTATCCCATGGTCATTTCATGCATGCTGCCATGTGGGGGTTATATTGGGGTTATATATTAGGATAATGGAAAAGAAAATAGATAGAAACTACTTTTTAGGGTTTAGGTGCTTAGGGCTTGGGGTTAGGGTGGGATAGCTTCTTTGGGGTAGCTGTAAGATGCTGTTTCCCCCTGAGACGCCTTTAGGGTTTAGGGTTTAGCGTATCAAAGCCCAAGATGAAACCACAACTTGAGCATGCAGATCGTCATCCAAACTCTCTGCGGAGGCTAATGTGTTAGTTTCCCAAAACGGGACCAATCTAGACCCCCAAAAACTACAGTCCTTATTATGGGGCCCTTCAAAAGGGTACCCCTCATTTTCGGAAACCCTAACCCTTATAATCCCCTATATATCCCAGCTTCCATTTCATTTTCAATGTTTTTTCCATTTGATTCTCCGTTATAGTAGGTACCCCTTATTTTAATCTAGTGGTTTGTACGTAGGACCTTTATGTATTATTTTACATCACAACAAGACAGTGCTTTGCATAGTTTAATAGCATAAACAAAGGGAATCGTATGAAGCTGCCGGCTGTCGCACTGAGGTGTATGTTGTGCATCATACATCACAACAAAAAAACAGTGCTTTGCATAGTTTAATAGCCTAAACGAAGAGAATCGTCAAATAATAATTACATAGAGGTCTTTGCCACATAGTGGTTTCCATTTATTTCGGAAAACCCCCATGTTCGTTTCCAAGAGGAGCACCTTCTGGAGCCCAATCCGAAGCTGGGACTGTTCTACAGTGCTCCCGAGTGGAACAATGCCCGCGCCCTACACAAAGTTAGGGTTTAGGGTTTAGGGCAAGGGCTCTTGGTGAGGCTTGATGAGGGAGACTTTCAAAATTCCTGAAGGGGGACCCCACACCAGTCCTAAATGTCCCTAGGGTCCCCGAGGACTTAAGAAACTCTGATTTCTTCATTATCAGGAGAAGACCTCCACATTCGTGGAGCTGACGCAGTCGTGTTCCTGGAGAAGTGCTTTGCGTGTCCATGCTGCTTGCAAAGTTTGGTTGTTGGATTCCACTTGTGCCTTGCATCTGCAAGGTTTGCTAGAAAGTCCCTGAGTGGTGCCTTGGTTGGAGCCTTGAACCTGCGAGGGGCGGGTTTGCCAGGGCGATGCATGAGCTGTGTGCGTTTCAAAAGGCCCTGGCAAATCCGCGCTATGTTGTGGCCTGAACTCTTGCATGGAAGAAGTGCCTTCTCTGTGTTGTTTTGGAGAAGCATTTCTGCTCCTAAGTTGAGGCTGCAGAAGTGGCTCGGAGACAGACGGAGGCTTTGCTGCATCTCAGCACAATGCAGCCACATGTGGCCTGTGCTTGATCCCTCTGCATGCTCCGTGTCTCTAGTCCTGAATCTCACGGCTTAAGCGAGAGCATGCTGAGTTCCAGGGCAGATGTGATGATGCACGAATTTGATAGCAACTATGTGCATATAGAGGCAGCATTCCTAGGATTTTGTCTGATGCTGTTCTCATGCCTTCGGAGAAGTTCGCATGGAGGCCAGACTCAAGCATCACCCTTGAAACCCTGTATGAGGACGACCAAGTCCTTGCTGTTTCAAAGCCCTTTGGGGTACTAGCACATCCATCGCCCGGTTATTGGGAGAAGGGCACGGTGGCGCACGCCGTGGTGGACAAGATGCCGGCAGAGATGTTGGAAGAGCGGGGAAACCATAATGAATGGGATAGCTTCATCCCGCGCTGCATTGTGCATCGCCTGGATGCTGGCACGACAGGGGCGATGATCCTAGCGAAAAGCACCACTGCTGAGAAGCATCTAGCACAGCAATTCAGAGCTGCCGATCTCATGTACCATGCGCCCATCGGAAAGAAAGTCTACGTGTCCCTTCTGCTGGGACATCCGGGGGGTTCAGATCGCAAGAGCGACGTCACAGTGGCAGAAACCATCGGCCGCCATCCAACGAACAGCAGATTCTGGGCTGTTGTTCCAGACGGTAAGCCTGCTAAAACAGTCATCCGCGTGCACGCGTTCAGCGCAAAGCACGCGTTGTCACTTGTGACCGCAGAACTCTTCACGGGTCGAACGCATCAGATCCGGGTCCACTGTTCCCATTTGGATGCACCCATAGCAAACGACAGTTTATACGCTCCATCGGCAAAGAACCGGGCTTTCTGGCAGTCAGTTGATCGAGCACTGCCCAGGGGGCGTCAGTTGCTACATGCTTGGGCTCTTGACTTGGAGCACCCAACAAAGAAAGGCAGCAAACTGATTCTCAGAGCACCGCTTCCTCCCGACATGGCTGCAATCGTGAAAGACGTATGGCCCTCACTGTCGCTTGATCCTGCGTGCTGGCCTGGGATACCACAACGATTGCGATCCAAGGCCATGGACGTCGATGGCGCTTCTTCAAGTGTGGGTCCAGCTGTGCTTGAGATGCCCGGCAGCATGTATCATTTTTTCTTTTTTTTGCGAATGTCTGTTTTCAGGCAATCATGTGGCGCTCTGCGCAGTAAGGATACCCTAGCCTAAAGGAGGGCCAGAAAAATGGGAATAGGCATCCTCCATGGTTCTGACAGATCTGGAATTGAATCAGAGGGATGCTCTAGCTTCTTCTCGGGCTCCAAGAACAACACACAATAGAGAGGGTCTGTGAACATTAGGCGCAACTCTTCAAGCAGCCACGGGAAAACAGATGCAAACATCAAAGTGGGTCCCTGCCTAAAAAGAGTGCAACATTGGATTGTTCGAGCCAACTCTTTGGGTACCTCCCTGTAGGAATCCCGGACCTCACAGGCTTACGGAGCTGCAAAAGCAATGGCTGGAATGGTGGGACTCCTCCGATGAAGGGCGGCGCTGGGTGCGCGAACGCGACCTGTGGGAACAGCAGCAGCGCAAGAGGCAAAAGCTGGGCGGAAAAGGCTTCTGCTTACCAACGGAAGACCTTTCAGAGCCAGTAAGTCGCCATGAGCTAACGCAGGTTCTGGCTGGCCGGGATGCCCAAAGATTGCCGACAACTCAGACACTCTTGTATGGATTTTGATCGATCCCTGAACCAAGCCCAGAAAGGTTGTGCCCCCTGGCTCAGGACGTCCCCTGAAGCAGCGAGCTCCGTGCAAGCTGGAGAAGCTACAGGCGCACATGTCCATAGAAGTCTAAAGCAACTTGTACATCAAAAGAAGATTTTGAGCCAATCTTTCGCTATTTCTTTCTCTTTACTGAGCACATCTTGTGTGGCGACAAGGCAGTGAGGCGCCTCACGTTACTACTCCAGCTGAGTACCTGACTCAAAGAATGGAAGTGGGAAAAGGCAAAAGCAGTGCCCCTACTTGCCCAGGTCAACAGCAAAAGGCAGCAGCTGGACTCCTAGCACGATGCTTGATGCTGGGAGCATTGCTGCAGTTCCATGTTGAGGTTCTGCGCCTCGGACACGAAAGAGTGTGGTCGCTTTTGCCGTGGAGCATGGGCCTCAGCTTTGTCTCTGTTTTCATGGAGTTGCGAACCCGAATCTCGGGGTAGAAGCCTGCGATAAGGCCAGCGGACGACATCGCCTCGTAAGGCAGGGCAGTCTGGTGCGACTGGGACATGTCTTTCCAAGGCACGCGCCGCATGGAAGCGCTCTTTCCAGAGCTGGGCTCAAGAAAGCAGTGAGTGATGCCGGGGATCAGCCCAATTCTGCGATATGTTAAGATTACAAGATATTGCAAGCAACGTCCCAGTACTTGTACAAATTTCAGGAATATTTGGCTTACCTTTGAAGGCTGCCTGTCCATGCAAGATGATGAGTTCACCATTGAGCTGGCCTTCCTGGGAGGAGGTGGGCAATCTTTGACGGTGAAAGATTCCGATTCCGTGTGGGATGTCAAGATCCGTTTAAGTGGGTCGGTGGACAGAAGCCTAAAGCTTCTCTTCCAGGGCCGGGCGCTTCCAGATGACCGGACTCTGAAATCATTAGGTGTGGGCCCAACAATCAAAGGATCCCCCATTGTGTATGTGGTTCAGAGCGTGGGAGCTGAGTCTCCGGGCGGAGAGCCCAGGCGGTCTGGCCTGAGGATCGTAAATTTGAAAGGTGGCGAGATGATCATTCCGACGCAGGGTTCTGACACGATTCTCAAACTGAAGCTGGCGCTGCAGCGAGAGCTTCGACTGCTCCCTGCGCTGATGCGACTGATTTTTGGTGGTGTTGAGCTTCATGATGAAGAGACCCTGGAATTCTACGGTGTTTCTCCAAGCACTTCCACAGTGTACCTCCTCCCTAGCCCGGTTGCTACTGGAGAAGCAGGACATGTCCCACTCGTAGAAGCCAAACTTCCAGCAGAAGCAAGCGTTGGCATCGCTGGCATTTTTGTGGGCATGTTCATTGAGAGGAGGATAGACAGCCTCTGGTTCCTGGCCAGAGTTCTGAAAGTGGTGCAAGAGGAGGTTCTGAGGGTCGACGTGCAGTATCTCGATGATGGAAACATCGAGCGTGGAGTTGATTGGGCAGAATGTCGCCACGAACTTGGTTAGCGAATCCGGGCCCCTTGACTTTCGATTTGTTTCACTTATGCACGCATGCGATGCATGCGCCGACTTCTGCCTTGTGCGGCTTCTGGCCGCAAGCTCTTCAGCTTGAGGCTTCGAGCGTCACATGACAGCAATGTACCCGCCCGCTTGCGCATCCATTGAAGCTGAGAGAGCAAGTGTACAGCGTCTGCAACTCCAGCCTCCATTTTCTTGTTAGGCGCACTGGCCCTGCCGATGCCGTTGTAATTAGTCCGCTGCGTGGTGATGAAGCTTCATTCAAGGGAAACCGCAAATAGAAATGAGCTTGCGGCAGCATGTCTCTTCAACTACCGCCAGCAACATCAACTGAAGCAGCACATGCTCGCAGACTTTTGCCACGGCTACGTCCTTCAATTCTTGCAGATTGCTGTCTGTGCAGGTGCCCTCCCGCAGCTGCGGAGCGATTCGGGCCACGATTCGCAACAAAAAGCTTGGCTGCTGGTGCATGAAGGATTGGGGTATTATTAGGGGTATATTGGGGCTATATTGGGGTTATATTAGGGTTATAGTGGAGTTATAATGGAGTTATAATGGGATGCTTGCGGAATGCTTGACGGACTCAGCTGGTTTCACATGTAGAGAATGGGATAATGGAAAAAATGGAAATAGTATTTGGGGTTAAATCTTAGGCAAGGAAGAGGGCTAATCTGACCAAGCACGTGCGGAAGCGCTTGATCTGCAGTTTGTTATGATGCTTTGTGACAAGAGATCATGGCAAGTAAGAGAAGCTGTAGTCATTGCCGTTTAGCTTGCTATTATATAGTATTATATATCATAATAAACTATAACATATACTATAGTATACTATAATATGCTAAAATGTGCTAGTGGGCTCTTGCGTATCCAGTGCTTGACAGCGTGTTCGACCCTAGCCATGGGCTTGAGAAGATGCGCCATTGAGCGAGCGCCTCGACGGAAATGATCCTGGACCCGCAGCATCTGCGCTCCTTCTTCCAGGGTTGTATAAAGGATAATGGGAGAATGGAAACTACAAGGGGATTATATTGGGGTATATAGGGGTTATATAAACTTATATAGGACTATATAGGGGTTATATAGAGGAATTATGGAAAAGAATACGGAAGCTACTATTATATTGTAGGGTTACATCAGGGGTTCTGTTGGGGTTATAGGGCAGCCTTGGGCTGGCACCCACAAAATTCGTGCGAGGAAAGCAGACATCAGCGACGGATTGCTACCTTTCAAATCTATAATAGACTCGCCCGGGCCTCACCCCAATGGTGGTTTATAGAGTTATACAGAACGCATGGTCTCATTCTGGCCCAGTATTTGAGACACTTACAATACGGCCAGAAGAAATCGCTTGAGGGAAACTCCGCATTGCAATCCATCTTTCATCTGTCAGAGACTGTTTTATAATTACTGTCATTTTACTATTGCTATTACTTTAATTGTTATTATCATATGATTATTGTTATTGTTAGCATGCTAATTTCCTGAGTTCACGGGCAACTGGCGACAGCCACGGGCTCACAAGCAGATCAGTAGCTGACCAACTGCCATCGGCGGATGGGAACTCCTGGGTGGATTCACCATGGAGATCGAAGAAGTGGAGCATCAGGAGCAAGAGGAGTTCCAGCGGCTTTTCAGCTTATTGCTATTCATTGCTGCTCTCTGGATAGCTGGAAAGCTCTTTGCACGGGCAGGCCCTTCCCATTTCTAAGTAGGGCATTCCAAAATAGGGTGACCGGGAGGATATTCGTGGGACTCTTCATGGGGTTCCTAAATTTGGCACACCCTCAGCCCTATATCCCCCTAACTCCGGGAACCCCTTAAACCCCAGACCCTGAATAGTAGCTTCCATTTTCTTTCCCTTATCCTTACATAACCCTTTTGTAAACCCCGAACAGTAAACCCTAAACCCTAAGACCAGACACTATATTAACAAAAAAACAGAAACTAAACACCATATCTGCATGGATCCAATTCCTTTCTGTATGGTGCCTTGGCCTCCCTTCTACCCGCCAGGCATGCCAGCGCTTGTGGGCGAAATCACCATAGGCGTCCTGGACCTTATGTGAGCTATAGGGGATGATGTTTAGGGTTTAGGGTTTAGGGATTAAGGTTTAGGGTTTAGGATGTAGGGCTTAGGGCCTAGGGTTTAGGGTCTAAACTCCTGGAGGGGGGGGGTATATCGTAGGATATATATATATATATGGGGAGTATTCTAAGGGTTCTTAAGGGGGCTACTAGGAGTTCAGACTATAGCTCATAGATTGTCATGATTGCTATTATTGTTAATAATATGTTCGTATCATTACTTCTGCTACTACTGCTGCCATTATATTGGGCTAAAGAATGTTAATATTGTTACTATAACCCTACACCCCTAGAAGCATTATCATTATTACTCTTACTATTATTACTATCACTTTTACTATTACTCTTACTATTACCGCTTACGATTACTATGATGATTCTTGCAGCCCTAAACCCTTAACCCTAAACCCTAAACCCCAAACCCTAAACCCTAAACCCTAAACTAGTCTTCTTCTTACTACTAAGGCATCCTCGCGGGACCTCACTTCGGAAATCTGGTTCCGGAGACCGACGCCCTGATGTTGCAGGGGGAACTGGCATTGGTGCCCGTTCGCATGTTGGTAGTTTCCCTTAACAGGGGGACCCCAATATAGACCCCAAAATGCTATAATCCTTATAATGGAGGCCCCTAAAGGTACCCCTAATTTCAGGAAACCCCCAAGTAGGTTTGGGTTCCAGTGTTCAGGGTTTAGGGCAATTCCTGTGCACATGCCAAGCAGGCGCTGTAAAGGAATTTCCTGGGATAGGCATGTGTGAGGTACTCCTTATGATTGAAGCTGGGCTTCACGTGGACATGGCTGCTGGGCTGCAGTGGTCTTTCTATGGGCTCCATGAACCTCTCCAGTCCCAGCTGACGACATTAGTTCCGCATGGGTTCTATGTTCCTGGTTCGGCAGAGCACCATGCCCAGAATCTGAGGAGATGATACAGATAGTCGGTTTGCGAGCCCTTGCTGTGGGACTGATCGGATCCTTCTTGCCGATGGGTCTAGGCTCCCTTGCATTGAACATGAGCATCTGTCGCAGCCTTGGGCAGCCCATTGCACTTGCATCTTTTGATCAATGCCAGGGATGCTAGTCGCCGCGCCCTCACTTTCTTGAAAACAATGTAGTCTTGCGCCTGTCAACGCTGACTTTGGCCGTGCACAGCGGGCAGAAAACTTGGTGCTAGTGCCCAGAAGGTGTAGAGTGGCATGTCTCACAAGATCTCGAGGCAACCTTTGCTCTTCAACTAGAGCTTATGGAAGCATTTGCAGTTGGGGCATCCATGGCTACTATGCCGCTCGCTTGCGCATTAACACCACTTAACTCAGCTTGCAGTCATCGACTGGCCTCCCACCAAGGTCCACTGGGATTGCTCTGAATGTAATGAAGGCTGGAGGGGTGCTGAATCAGCCGACTGGGCAGCTGGTGCTGGCTGCTGCAACAGTGAATGAAACCTGGCTGCTGGCTGGCTTCAAGTAACCTAGGCCAAGTGAGAGAATCAACTGCACTTTACTTGTGACATTACTCTGAAAGCATAATGCAACCCAATGCAAATGTCCCGTTTCCCGATCATGAGGAACAGGTGGTCTGTGCAGCTCTGAGGAGTTGGTGAATATCGGACTCATCACCGAAATCGATGCCATTGTGGCTGACGGGCCCTGGCAAACTTACGTCACTAGGCTTGATCTATAGTTCTGATGGGCTGCTGTAATCTGCTCCCCGAGAATGCAACCTCTGACATGACCTGAGGTTGTGCCGTTGGTGAGCCTCGACTCGTTAAGTGGTCTTCCTATGTCAATTTCCTTATGTGGTCTCACAGCAGGTTGCAAGAGGATATGGGGAGCAGACTGCCTTGGATCCAAATGTGGGACCTCAATAGGCCCCCGATATACTGTAGATGTACCCCTAAAGTACTTATGGGAAACCTACACCCTAAAACCACCTAGAAGCCCCCTACAGACCCACTCTCACCTCCTTCACAGGTATCCCTAATTTGACCGCAGACGGCGGGCCGCCTTAGCAAGGGTAAGGGAGAGCTTCAGAGCAGCGACGCCGGTCACCAACCCCCTTCCAAACCCCCCTGAAAATGGTATACAATATTGAGTCTTGAATTCCCAATAGGGTATCTAATATTACAAAAGGTTGCGTTCAAATGTCAGAAATGTGATATCATACGGTCATCCCCCCGAGAAGTATACTTGCTTGTCTCACCGCTCCCGGCTTCTTTGCATTTGGTGCCGCACGATCGCGGAGGATGTGCAAGTTATGTTCTGAAAGCTGCCATTGCAACAGCACAGAGTTGAACAATTTTTCATTTCCTTCATGCTCAGACCGGCCAGAAATATGCTCCCCCCGTCCCCGCAAAACCCTCTCCCAAATCCACCCTCCGCCCGAAAAACGATAACGAAACATGCCAATCTCTTGCCGCTGAAAGGGGGTAGGGGGAGGGCTAACTTACTCTCCTAGTTTTCGCACCTGGATCTAAACGCTCCAGGCCCCAGGCCTTGGTTTTTGGGAAACCCCCAAATTCAGTCTTGTGGAATCAGAGGCGGGTGATGGGATGTGCATCCTGCGACTCACCAACTTGGAAGGGCCACCTGGGGATTTCTTAGGTGGACCCCCCACCCAGTAATAATGACTGTAAGGGCTACTGGTCATTGAATTAGGGTCTTCTAGCTTTCTTACATCAATGGGTCTACCTAGAATAATACAGGTCCCGACAGCGGGGCTCCTTCCTATGAGGATGTGGGTCCCTGTATAAGTTTCCCGCATTTTGAGAACAGGACTTCAGGCCAAGTCAGACATGTTCTGCACAATATCGTAAACCCTAAACCCTAAGCTTCCCAAGGATCATGCTTTTGCTGGTGGCTTTCATGAGCTTCTTGGCCGTGAAAGTTGTGCCGTGCTTGCTCGAGAAGGCGTTGGTGCCGGAAATGGGATTTCCCAACATGATTACTACAGGGATCTATAGGGTTATGTAGGGGTATATAGCGGTATATAGGAGTTATATAGGAATAATGGGAGAAGAACATAGAAACTGTTTTTTAGGGTTTAGGGCTTAGGGCATAGGGCTTCGGGCACCGGCACTCTTCAAAGCCCCTTTGCTCAAAAGGGTTTAGGCCTTCAGGATTTAGGGTCTCTAGGATTTAGAGCTATATACTGATATACACCCCAATGATGGAGAACCAAATGGAAGAAGCAATTGGAAAATATAACGGAAATTGGGATTCTATGGGGGTTCATAGGGTTTGGGGTGTCCCAAAATTAGCGGTACCTTTCTCGGGGTCCCTATAGTAAAGATTATCATATTTTGGGCCTATAATCGGCCACTCTATAGGGAAACAGTCAAATGGAAAGCTGCAGCGAGGGTTGCAAAGGAGCTCCCCCTCTGTCATTCTGCACTAAGTTTCGGGTAGCTGGAGACGTCAACAGACCTTGCTCTCCATCGCCTTGCAGGTGATTTTGCCGCGGATTGCCAAAGGCAATCGTGAGAATTTGGCTTTGGGCATGCTCTTGGTCTTTGCCTCAGTTTGACGGTCGTTGTGAGCCCTCGCTGGTTGACGCTTGTTGCTAGCAGGTGGCAACGACTCTGTGCATGCCTGCGCCGCTTGGCTGCGCAGTTTCGATGCGCGTGCAGGGGATTCCAAAAGTGGCAGCCAAAGTGGCAACTTCAGTCCGGCAATGCGATTTCATGGCTTAGGTGCAAGCTCACAGGTAGCTCAGCGCTGTTGGGCGCTTTTTTGGCCGGCTTTTGCTTTTGCACCGACCCATGGCTTACAGGCTTGCACAAACGCTCGGCATGCAATGGCACTGGGATTTTCTGTTGACCTTGCAACTCAGGATGAGCACGTGCACCACACCTGGAACCGTCAGGTCAAGCGCGTTGCCACCTTTCTGATGCGGTTTTTCTTCGCCTGCAGCATTGGGTTCACAATTCCAGTCGAAGACTTTGGCGACGCCGAAGTTTGGAAGACTGCGCTTGCGCTGTTTTGGCATCTTGCCTTCCCAAACCTGCTGGCTGGGTGATTTTCCTTTGCGCGCGATGTCTCCAACGGATTTTGCTCAGGTGCATCCTGGGCAAGCTGGCCATGGGTGTTTTTGCATTGCCGCTGACCAAGAATGAGTTCCTGACGTTGAGCTTCGCCTGGGGTAGTTGGGGCGAGTTTTCCTTCATCCTTGCCCTCCGAGCTGTGCGAGGGAATTTGCTAGACGGACGCCAAGCCGCAGCAGGTTCAAGAAGGATGAGAAGTAAGGTCCTTCAGCCTTCAGATCCCCAATATCAACTGAGGAAAGAACTACAGCGCCTTGGTCCTTGCGGCAGCTCGGATGTTGATTTCGCTCTTACGCTGCGCGTGCTGAGAGAGGCAATGCCAAACTTTGCCTCGACTCTTTTTTCCGAGGTCTTGATCTCCATCATTATTTGCCCAACAGCATTGCGCTGTGTGCTCACAAGAAGTGCCAGGGAGGCAAACGCGTGCATTGAGCTCGCGAAGCCACCTGGTGGCAAGGGTTCTAGCGAGTGGTTGCTCTTTCTCAGCAGGGTTGCGGTGTTCTGTGTCCTGGCAGCCGAGGCACGAAACGGATGCATGTGAAGCGGGGATGGTCCACTGCGCCCCTTGGACGTGATTGGCAAGTTAACATCTCAGGCTGGAGAGTGCAGCTGACTGAGGTGTATTATTGCTTGCAGACGCGATCCTGTGCCCAGTGGGGCCAGCAAGGCAGTGCATGAGAGCGAGGGGTAGAAAAGAGGGCTGAATCCTCTATGTCTGCAGGCGCCTTGCTCTCCACACTAGCCGAGGCCAGGCAAGTCCTAGCCTAGTTTCAAGGGAGCAACTTGAGCGCAAGGCTGGATGCAAAATCGTCGACTTCCGCTCTTTCCACCCATTCCATCATGTGGGTACTCAGCACATTGTCAACGAGCTCTACGTCAAGGATCTGAGACTTCAATTAGCTGCCAGGCTGCAGTCCATCCGGCAATGTTCAAGTTCACGACGCCCAATGAAACCTAATCGTGGCTCCAGTAGAAATTTCTTGCCAAGCTGGGTCACATAGCTGGCATGCCACTATGGCCGTCAGAGTGGCGCGCCAGCTGTGCCACCGCAAGCGCTTGCAAGAGTAAAACATACTTGTCCTTCAGCGTATAGGTGCTTATGTGGTGAGCGAATATCAGTTGGCGTAGTTATTTGATTTTCCTCTGCGGCCCTAGCATTGAAGTCATTCCGGAGTCATTCTGATGAGGTGCTGGCAGACCAGCTGGAGCCAGCAGATCAGCAGAAGCTGGATTGTCGCAATTGGGCAGCAGGGCAGCTAGATCTGAGAAAGCAGGAGCTCACATGGAGCTGTTATCCCCTTTCTTCAGGAATTGGTGAGATCCTGCGTGGAATTCTGACAGCCCTTCATGTAGCCGAAACTTGGCTGCACGAGTACATACTGTGTGGCCCGTGTAGCCTTTTCCAAGTGTGAGAACAGTTGGGTTTTCGCAAATTTAGGGGTTCCCTTTTGGGGGTACCCGTAATCAGGATGATAGTAGATTGGGGTCTATATTGGGGTTCCCCCATTTTGAGAAACTACCATTTGGATTTTCGCAGTGCTTGAGAGTATTTGCTCACCTGTTGACAGCCGAGGAAGTGAAGATTTTCAGACACCTGGAGCACTTTTTATCAGAGTTGTTAAAAATTATGAAGGTACTATAACGCGTAATAATAGCAATAATAATTGCTTGTATTAGAAGTCTTATTCGTATTATTCATCATAAGAGTAAACATGCTGAATTATAATAATGAATAATAGCAGCAATTATAGTACTACTAATCATAGTAGTAATAATAACAGTGATAATAATGAGTAATAATGTGAAAGCTCAGGATGGCAGCCTGGCGACGGTACCATCGACCTAATCCAAGAAGTACATCATACAGGTTACGGCTGGTTTAGGGTTAAGTGTTTAACCTCATATGAGCCATAGTCTGGACGTTATATAGGGATTATATAGGCGACTGCTACAGGGCTTGTTAAGGGGAATACTAGGAGTT